CTTATCATAAGCAGCTGAGATAAAATAAATGGAAAATGCAAAAGCTGATGAATGATAAGTATTAAAATGAAAAAATATTTTTTGGATCCCTTTTCACTGATTTAAACTTATTCAACCATTTTGAAGACTTGCAGTTCCTACGTGTGTTAATAAAGGGAATCGGAGAAGACTGATTGTGCCCGGAAGTGACGTGTAGTGGTGTTAGAAGCGAAGCTGAGTGGTCATTTTAACCTGGAGGTGAACGGGAGAGAAGACGTGTAGTCGGAGGAAAAAGAAGTTTTCTAAACAACCTGGTAAGATAACTCTCTTTTTTTTACGCATTTTGGGCAGAGAATACTTGTAGAAATAAAAGATGCATGATATGAAAACGTGACACGGAACTTGAAGGTGCAAAATCGTGCTGTCAAAATGTCACCTTTGTCTTGGCATTTGTCACTGATTAGCTCCTCCCCCAGCGACATTAACTACTCTTCGGATCAACAGTTAAAGGTTAGTAATCTTTACAACATTGTTAGTTGATTTTGTAAAAATGATGGTAAACTTGTTATCGTGTATTGTGTAATAAAGTTTCAAAAATGGAAATAAACTCATTTCATTGCAGTTTGTCAGATTCAATCATTCACTATGTTCAGAATCTCAGAATGGAAGAAATTGGACATTTAACACTGCTCTATTGATATTTTTCCCATCTCATCAATTTTCTTAGTTGATCATATAAAAATGGCAGTAAACTGTTAATTTTGTTTTATGTTAAAAAATGTTAAAAATAAAAAAAAAAAAAAACATTTCAAAACAGTGCTGTCTTGTTTACATTTTGGCATTTTCAAGTTGTGACTTTGAAGTTCCATGGGCCTGAAGACCTTTGCTAGTCACATTTTCTGAATATCCATGATACTAATATTTTATTATTAAAAATTGATGGTCATTATGCTGTTAAACATTATTTCCCTTAGCGATTAATCAGCCTATCCTGATAACAAGCAAAACAAAACTTCAATTTTTTATACATGTACAAGATTGTTACTCAATAAATCCCATGTTTGCTTGGACCCATACTATGCTAGATAGGATACTGTTCATACTTCAGAGGCTTACCCCCTCCCTACCCTCTACTAGGGCCGCAGTTATTATTGTGGACATATTTGCTGAGGGGACCCTGTCACGTTTGGCCAGATGGGAGCAATTAAATCTGAACGCGCCCAGATGCCATTGTGCCTGATCTGCATGAGCTCAGTGAGAGCTGGGCTTTGCGCCAATGTAAATAACACCCCATTTCCATAGATTTTTAGATCGATCTGTCCCTGTGGGGAGTCTCACTAGATTACTGTCAGCTTGGCCGGCTTAAGCGTCTGTCCCGCCTACTAAAAGCTGTAAGGGGGTAATTAACTATGGTGCCCGCTCGGCTGACTGCAATTTAGCGTGAACCCCCAGGGAGTTAGGTCGATCTAAATCTTAATCTTTAGATCGATCTAAATCTCTGGGAAAGCACCCTAACACTTATTACGCAACTTGCCTTGTCTTGTCTGTCTGCTAAGGGGCTTTTTTATTGTCACAGATGAGCAATTAACTGTCTTGATAACTGTCAAGGGGACTTGGCAGGGACTTGCTAAGTGACAGTGCCTGAGTAGTTATGCAAACAATTACAAGCCATGTAATCATCCTTGAGATTTCAGAACAGGGTCACAGTGCAGAGGTTAGCCATCTATTTAACCAGAGACATATCTGTTAATATATAGTGAAAAATCAATCTGTGGCCCTGGTAGAGGGTACCTCCTCCCCTGATACCAACGCTTCCTTCCAGTGCAGGTTTTCAGTATGATGCCAGAGTTGTCATGCTAATACAGTTTTATTTTGTTTAAGAGAAAACATATTGAAATGTTAGGTAAATGTTAGGTACTGTATTATCATTCTCTGAAAGTAATATATATATATATTTTTTACAAAAGGTTTACATTATGTTTTTTAATATTAAAATGTTGCATTTTGATTAGGTACTTCAAATCTACTGGTCTCAGTTCCGACCTGGATGATTCTTCTGATGAAGAAATCGGTGACACCAGTGGGCAGAGTAAGTCAAGACGGGACACTCCTCGTGGTCCATGCTGGCATTTACGTATGTGATAATAGAGTCATTGATCTCAGTCATCTACCAGACTGATGGAACTTATTAAGATAATATTATACTAGGTTAACTCATGTTTGAATTTTATATGAAAAAGAAGATATACAGAACCAATTGATTAATAATCATTATTCCCAGAAAATTTGTTTGAACAATTCATTCATTTTATTTTCATTAGCCCACCAAAAGGAAGTGGGAAGCAAGAAAATGGGCAAAAGGAAAATAAGATATAAGCAGAGTGGCAGTGGATGGGTTGATATTGGTGCTCAAATAGATAGATGGAATGTAGTGCGGGAAAAACTACAAATTATGCAACATCCCGAAGTGGCTAAACTGCTGTTAGATACGTGAGTATAGATATTTCGTTATAATAATTATAATGTATAGTCTTCAGACCCTCTTATTTAATTGATGTACTGTTATCTATATCGATATATCTTTTCCCTATTTTGGTAATTTCTAGCAATTAATCAGCCTATCGATCCTGATAACAAGCGAAACATAACATCATTTTTTTTGTTATACATGTACAAGATTATTACTTAATAAATCTCACGTTTGCTATGACCCATACTATGTTGGATAGGATACTGTTCATACTTCAGAGGCTTACCCCTCCCCTGATATCAACACTTCCTTCCAGTGCAGGTTTTAAGTGTAATGTCAGAGTTCTCATGCAAATATATTTTTTGTTAAAGAGTAAACATATTGAAATGTTATTATTATTTTCTGAAAGTGTTATGTATACTACTAAGGGTTTACATTTTGTCTTCATATTATTTTTTGGTTAGGTACTTCAAATCTACTGGTCTCAGTTCAGACCTGGGTGATTCTTCCGATGAAGAAATTGGTGACACCAGTGGGCAATGCAAGCCAAGACAGGATAATCCACATAGTCAAGAAGCTGAAGGCAGTGTTCCAGTATCACTTGGAACAGATAATGATATTCCGGATCAAATATTGAATTTCAAAATAGATTCAGATTCCGTTGACATGTTTACAGGTGAAAATATGTGTGAAAAGACTGATGCTATAGTTGTCAGCCAGAGCAAAGAAATTGAAAAAGGACCTCAGAATCTTGAGGTTCATCAGAATGACATTAGTGAGGAAGTAAGTAATGACCCAGAAAAGGATAATGGTTTTAAAGATCAAAATGATGGAAATCTTGAAGCAGATGATGAAGATTTCGAGTCCAAAGGTGAGGAAAGTGATGATCTTTATGAACCAAGTGATGAAGATCTTGAAACAGATGATGATAGTAGTGAGGGAAGTGACGGTGCTTATGAACCGGGAGATGAAGGATATGTACAAAACAAAAGAAAATGCCAAAAATGTCACAGGTTTATTCCAAAGGCATCATTTAAGAAGCATCAAGAAGTGCATAAGAAGAAACAGAAGATGGAATGCATATACTGTGGTAGTTGTTTTGAAAATGTGGAGGAATTTAATGCACATGTGCATGAAACAAAACCTATCCATGAATGTCAGTTCTGTGGAAATTTCTTTGAACTCCACAGGGAATTCAGTAAACATGTCAAAGCGTGCCAAAAAACAAGAGAAAATGGGACAGAAAAGAAGTCATATGTTTGCCATTTGTGTGGTAAAAGTTATCCTTCTGCAAATTCCCTCAAGAAACACGAGAAATGTCACATAAGTGGATCATATTTTTGTCAGTACTGCCTAAAAGAATTTGAGTTTAAATGTGCTGCTAAAGCTCATGAAAAAACACATGCAGAGGCAAATATATACATTTGCAAACATTGCGGAAAAGTTTGTGCCAATAAAAGAAGTTGTAGAGCACATGAAAAGACACACTCTGCACAGGCAGCCAAGAAAACACAAAACAAAATGAGTTTTTTATGCCAAATTTGTGGCAAGAGTTTACAACGAAAAGATAGTATGAAGATGCATATTAGACAACACACTGGTGAAAGGCCTTACCAATGCCAGATTTGCTTTAAGTCCTATGTTGATACTGTCCATCTCAAACGGCATATGTTAATTCACCAAAGCCAGCATCTGTTCAAATGCAATTTCTGTGAGAAGTCTTTTCCACGAAAAGATGCCTATGTTAGTCATATGAGAGTGCACACAGGGGAGAAACCTTACAAATGTAGCTACTGCCCTGAAGCCTTTTCTCACAATGTCAGTCGTAAGGCACATGAAAAAGTTCACAGCGAAAGAAAATGAACATTAAATTTGTTTTTAGCTCAACCTTTTAATAATCTCTTATAATTTGTTTTGTATTTTCTATTAAATAAAATGGAATAAAAAAAATACTGTAGAGGTTGTTAACTTTTCACCTTTATGTACAATTCCTTTCTTTGGAAGTTGAATAAAAAGCATTCATGCAGTATACATTCAATATACATAATTTATCAATACATGCAAACAAATGATCAGCAGCACAGTTTATTTAGTTTTCAAAAAAAAAATTACAGGCATGAAAAATGGCATCTACGTTCTTATAGCTATACATTCACCAGGCCTTCCCAACTACCAGACGCGGCACCAAACGATCCAGTATTAGATCGGACCACTTTACCTGTTTTCAAGGGCGGTTCCAAGATTGTATTTGAAAGGGGGTCCACGGATGCCGATCTCCCCCCCCCCCCCAACACACATACACACACATACCTGGCGTGGGGCTCAGGGCCCACTGAAAGGCGTCTATTTATTTATTTATTTTTATTT